CCAGCTTTGCAGCTGGCCATAGCAGTAGTCAAAACATGAAGTAAATCAATGTGTGTGTGTCTGTTGATTAAGTGGTGTGTAGCTAAAAACATTCTCACGTGACCTCTAGTGACATGTCATGACATTAAACATAAGAAAATATTATGGCTAAGGCTACAGTTATACACATCATAATAATAATATTAAACATCCTGTCTGCTGACAGTCATCAACTTTTCTCTCTAGTTATCCTTGACCAGATGTACCCTGTAGAAACTCATAAGCATGACTAAGCATTTAACAGTCTAACTAGACATCCTATCTCCACTAAACATTTCTAATACATACAAGTACCTAACCAATATCTATCTGACTAAAAATACCTAACACCATGCAGCCTATCGCACTGCCATCTTCTCAGAAGTGTTATGGAAATTATTTAGTGCTTGTTACGGCGAACCGTGTGTATGTATGTGCTTGTTCAGACTTAGAAAAAGGCAGAACTCGGACTCAGGCTTGGCCAGGTAAATGTATTTTAATAACTACAGAAATGAGGAGTGGTCAGAACCGGTCTCGTCAGCTGATCTCAGGGCAGCGGGGAGTGCTGGGTTGACTGGACTGCTAGAGATACAACCCGAGGTTGTAGGAGAGGCGCAGCTGGCTAAAGAAGAGCAGAGGATGAGAATGAGTAACAGTGATGCTAAGATAATGGCAATACTGATAGTTATACTGAGGACCTGAGTAGCAGAATTTACTGGCTCTAGCCAGGTGAGCGCCGTAGGCATAAAACACAATCCAGGGGAGGTGTAGGAGCAGTACTACCATCGTAGAAGGTGAGGATCAGGCTCGCAGCAGATGGTAGAGCAGGTAGCAGGATGGTGTGAGGATGGCTGACAGTTGGGATCCAGAACCATGCAACCAGTCCCAGCAAGAGTTGGTCTCCTCGTCCTGAGGAGTGTCACCTGAAGAAACAGCTCACAATCCAGGCACCAAATGGTGCTAATACAAAATGGCTGCAACCAACAAGCAGAGGGTACTCTGTTGTTTAACACAAGTCCACAGAAAGTAGTTCAAACAGAAAGTACCTGAAATCAGGTCCAACAACATAGAAAACAGCTCATACACAGGAAATCCTATTCATGAGAGCAAAGACAGGTTACCGGCAGGAATACAAGAGATCATCTGGCAGCAAGGACACACCAACGCTGCCTTTAAGTACTAGTCTGGTATCTGTGCAGATTCTCAGTCATCCAGGTCATAGTAAAGTGAAAAAACCTTAGAAAAAGAGGAACTGATGAAGCCTCTTGGATGAGAGGTGAAACATCTCGATCTAGAAATCCAAGTCCAGTTGATTTTTCTAAGGTTTTTTTCAGTTTACTAGTCTGGTAATTGAGAGCAGGTGTGCCTCGCCGCCTAGAATGCCTTCCCACCTGTGCGGGGGCGGAGCTACTGTGACAGCCCATGCCAGCTGATGAGGTGCTGGGGGTGGTCTGGGCCATGGACGTAACAGTGCTAAAATAATGATATTAGTTTTTTGTTCACAAAAGACAGCAGTGTTTGTCTTATGATCACATTAGAATGAGATTCAGTTCCTCCTTATCAGCATAAAGGAAACATTAAATGTATATTTCTAAAACTGAAACAATTGTCAGCCAAGGCTGAATTGAATAATACCACTTCTTATATATGCTATTGTTCCTGTTCCTCCACAGGATGATAACCATGGATGTAGAGCAGGTGATCTGTTTGGCCTTGTCCCTGCTTCTGGCTATCAAGTACATCTTCTTTGAGCAGGTTGAGATAGAGTCTATGCTGTCACTGAAGAGCCCCATCACTATGTCCGCCCCCATCGTGACCTTGCAACAGCCCACCAAAACTTGCTGTAGGAAGGAGTCATTCACTCCCCGTCCACTCAACCCGGGCTGCATGGCTGTTGTGGCATCTGCTAACAAGGCAGAGAAAGGTGTGTCTGTGCTTAGTGACAATTTCTTAGAAGATGGGCTTGTGTAGTACTGTGGTATCCACTCCACCTTGTTTTTTAGATGAGGTTATCCAGCCCCTGTCTGCCCCAGCAGCTGATACCCTGCCTAAGGGTTTATTTCTTGTTGGGGAAGAAGAGGATGAGCTCAAGTCCACCACTCACCTGAGCGTTCCCCCAAAGCCGAGAAGCCTGGACAAGTGTGTAGCAATTCTCAACAACCCTGAGGTAAGACAGAATGCATAACCTACTGAAACATCCCTTTCATAGGTGGTAACTCAGCTTAACTCCTCTCAGGTGACTAAATTGCCAATTGGCATTAGAAATTAGACTAAACTAAGTCTAAATTAGATTTCATCTGGAAAGACATCTAGCATAAAACATGCCAAGTTTAACATGCAAATTTGCTGTGGCGACCCCTAATGGGAGCAGCTGGAAGTAGAAGAAGAAGAAGCCATTTGTTGTGGACTATTAAAGGCTCTATTCTATTCTAAAGCCTCGTCCGGTTCTTTCAAACCAGGAACTCAGAGGGACGACTCAGACCACTTGAGTATATAAAAAATATAACAGTGCTGGTTTATTCAAAGAGTCACAGGCAAGAATTAACACTTCCAGTCCAGAGATCTTCCAACCCCCAGGCTGCCCAAGCAGCCCGGAAGCAGAAAAGACCCCGAACCAAGAATTGCTATACAATATTAATCATTTCTGGGCTGTCAAACCGTGACGTCACTTGATATGCCAGCTTGGCAGCTGAGCAGAGCAGTAGACAAAACATGAAGAAAATAATGTGTGTGGCTGTTGTTTTCGTGGTGTTTATCTAAAACAATTTGACATAACATTACACATTAAGACAAATATTATGGTCACTTTTACCGTCATAATAACATTTGTCCCTGACGGCAGACTTTCTCTGCTTTAACTAACCTTGCATTTAACAGCCTGAGGAAGACATCCTAGCTACACTAACATCTTCTAATACAACAGATCTCTAATCAATATCTATCTAACTAAGAAATTACCTAACACTATCAAATGAAAAGATGCTTCTGTGAAAAATAGCCTCATCCAAAGAGTTTGTGAGCTTCTTTGACAGGCAACTTAAATAAATAAATTTCAATTTTATTGGGTTATCAAAAACAATCTGTCTACCCTTCACTCCCCTCTTGTGGAGCATTAATAAAGCTGTGACCTCTGCAAAGACATGTCAAGTAAATGAGCAGCTTCATCCATATTGTCATTGATGGGTTATTATACTGTAGGTGTTTCAGACTGTTGTTTATACGCCTGCTTAAAACAACTGTAATTTTTTTGTGAAGAATCAACAACAAGTGGGACACAATCATGAAGTGGAATGAAATTTATTGGATATTTCAAACTTTTTTAACAAATAAAAAACTGAAAAATTGGGCGTGCAAAATTATTCAGCCCCCTTAAGTTAATACTTTGTAGCGCCACCTTTTGCTGCGATTACAGCTGTAAGTCGCTTGGGGTATGTCTATCAGTTTTGCACATCGAGAGACTGAAATTTTTGCCCATTCCTCCTTGCAAAACAGCTCGAGCTCAGTGAGGTTGGATGGAGAGCGTTTGTGAACAGCAGTTTTCAGTTCTTTCCACAGATTCTCGATTGGATTCAGGTCTGGACTTTGACTTGGCCATTCTAACACCTGGATATGTTTATTTGTGAACCATTCCATTGTAGATTTTGCTTTATGTTTTGGATCATTGTCTTGTTGGAAGACAAATCTCCGTCCCAGTCTCAGGTCTTTTGCAGACTCCATCAGGTTTCCTTCCAGAATGGTCCTGTATTTGGCTCCATCCATCTTCCCATCAATTTTAACCATCTTCCCTGTCCCTGCTGAAGAAAAGCAGGCCCAAACCATGATGCTGCCACCACCATGTTTGACAGTGGGGATGGTGTGTTCAGGGTGATGAGCTGTGTTGCTTTTACGCCAAACATAACGTTTTGCATTGTTGCCAAAAAGTTCGATTTTGGTTTCATTTGACCAGAGCACCTTCTTCCACATGTTTGGTGTGTCTCCCAGGTGGCTTGTGGCAAACTTTAAACGACACTTTTTATGGCTATCTTTAAGAAATGGCTTTCTTCTTGCCACTCTTCCATAAAGGCCAGATTTGTGCAGTATACGACTGATTGTTGTCCTATGGACAGAGTTTCCCACCTCAGCTGTAGATCTCTGCAGTTCATCCAGAGTGATCATGGGCCTCTTGGCTGCATCTCTGATCAGTCTTCTCTTTGTATGAGCTGAAAGTTTAGAGGGACGGTCAGGTCTTGGTAGATTTGCAGTGGTCTGATACTCCTTCCATTTCAATATTATCGCTTGCACAGTGCTCCTTTGGATGTTTAAAGCTTGGGAAATCTTTTTGTATCCAAATTCGGCTTTAAACTTCTCCACAACAGTATCTTGGACCTGCCTGGTGTGTTCCTTGTTCTTCATGATGCTCTCTGCGCTTTAAACGGACCTCTGAGACTATCACAGTGCAGGTGCATTTATACGAAGACTTGATTACACACAGGTGGATTCTATTTATCATCATTAGTCATTTAGGTCAACATTGGATCATTCAGAGATCCTCACTGAACTTCTGGAGAGAGTTTGCTGCACTGAAAGTAAAGGGGCTGAATAATTTTGCACGCACAATTGCAAGCCGGGTTGGATAACTATGGAGTTAGCTTTACACCTGAGAGGACTTGCCATGACCACTTCATTTAAATACAAATGAAACTCTCCAGCGTCTGGCAGGCAGTTGTGCTGTTTGTCTCTCTGCATCTCCAAACTGTGCTCCCTCTCTGATTTGTTTTTTTCCCCTTTGTTTAATGGGTCAGAGGCTATTGTAGCTGCTGAACAAGTCTCCTAAAAATTACATCCCTATACTAAACTGCAAATAAGTTAACACAATATCAGTAAAATGTCCCCAGCCAATGTATTTTTTTTCTCTCAAAATATCTGGTGTTTCAGCAAATAAGATTGTTTTCTGACAGTTTCTATAACTCAACAAACAAATGAATTAGGGGATTTTCCAATGGAATCTGGGGCTAATGGCGAAACACTGAGACAAAGAGATGCACATTCACACTTGTGGCCATCTCTTGTCTTGTAAATAGGCTATTTTGCATAAACTCAGGGTTGGACTGGGTCTTGGATATCCTCTTTTAATTTATCTCTGTCTTATACTGAAAATGTGAACACTCCTGCGGTTTGACTTTATTAACACCACACTCTGGAGGGTGTAGCATTTTTTGCATTTTGGAATTCTGGAATGCATTGAGATGTGAATCCAGTACATTAAACCCACACCTAGTGGGCTACCAGTATAAAATCCACAGGATGTGTCCTAGGGACACCAAAAGAGAAAATGCTTTCACCTAATCTGACTGTTTTTACATGAATATTTTATCTCTTTTGTTTTGTCAGCATAATTTGATACATTGTCAGTAAGATGGTCTAACCCTATGTATTTTTTTATGTATTTTTTTCTACCAAAACATCAGATCTTCCCACACAAAATCCAGTTTTCTGATTACAGCATTATTCAGAATTGACATCAATGTATTATCAAAGCTGGATACTGAATTGAAAGATGGCACCCACTGACTTAAAGGTTGCTGTGGGAGCATGGTGCTGGCATGGAGATGTCAAGTATCCCGGAATGCACTTCATGCCATCTAAAGATGCAGCTTGCTCAAGGCTCACACTTGAAGTTGTCATTAGCATACTTAAATAGTTTAAAATATTTCTGATTAATCATAAATGGCTGTGAAAAGAGAGAATAGCACAAGAGAAGGAACACTGTCTTGTGGGCAGCCTGTGTTAACCACAAGCTCATCTGTCAGGGATCCACTGACACAAACCCTTTGTGAACAATCAAGTAGGATTTTTTTTCCATACTGCATAATTGGTCTGTTACTCTATGCAATCTAGAGTAACTATATGGTTAGAAAGCATATTTATGAGGTTTTTACGCCCAAATACAATAACTTCAGTTTTGTCAGAAAACCCTAAGGGTTGTGTAGTTTCTTCTCATCTTGAGTAAATTTTTAGGTCACATCACTGGCCACTGATCTGACCACACTACACAGTGAATGGTAAATCATAGTATGATTTTCTCTGTTGCAGCTTGGGCCTTGTTTCCTGAGTGATGCTGAGGTGATGCTGTTGGTCAATTCTAATCACATCCCTGCATACAAACTTGAGTCCATGATGGAGAGACCAGAGAGGGGAGTAGCCATACGAAGACAGATAATATCTGCAAAGCTTCCTTCTCCTTCTGTGCTCTCCTCCCTGCCATACACTCACTATGATTACTCAAAGGTAAAGACACATCCACACAAAAAAGTCAGACTGTAGTCCTCTCTGTAACATTCTGCCTACTGTTTTATGGGGACGTGAGCATTTCTGTTTTCCAGGTTACGGGCACTTGCTGTGAGAATGTGATTGGTTACATGCCCATACCTGTGGGCGTGGCTGGACCATTGCACCTGGATGGAAAGTATTTCCAGGTTCCCATGGCAACTACAGAGGGCTGCTTGGTTGCCAGTACCAACCGTGGCTGCCGAGCAATTGCTGTGAGTGTTTAGATATGTTTTCCATCACATACATTACAAATACCTTGGTGGACAATATAATTGAAAGAATCCATGAAAATACTGAATCATAAAACTGCTCTCTTGGTAAATGACATCCATGTAGGCATTCTTTTCACATTCCTTTGAAATGTCATATGTTAAAAGTGATTGTATGATCTGGTTAAACCTGACATTATTGCTGAGTGGCCCTGAGCTTCATAAGCACAAACGTTAAGGCAGAAATGTTGCACTGAAGTGCATACAGATGTACAGGTGGTCATAATATTATGCCTGATCTGTGTATATGGGCTGGAGAACAGAGGATAATGATCAACGGGTGGAATTGGGAACTGGGGTAAAGCTGGAGCAGGTGAGGTGACACAGACAGGAAATTAAACCAAAATAAAAGCATGAGAACAGGAAGTAAGTCCAAACCATAACAACCACATTACAAATAAAAAGGACAGTGGGAAAACTACATTTTGAATTAAAAGCCCACTTTGGAAAATTGGCATTTTGAAATAAAAACTGCTGGAATTAAATAAAAGGGGATGTATTAAAGTTTATTGTTGTGAGAACAAGCATGATGAAATATTTCATAATAATGAGCTGAATTCTAAAAATGTGTTTGATTATTTTACTGCTTCATGGACATATAAAATTGGCTGTATTTATTTAAATAATTAGTTATTTCATAATGTCTTATTTCATTATGAACATTTTGGAGCTCCATAGATGTTCAGTGTGGATTACACAAGTCAAGATACTGCACTCTTAAGAGTCTGCCAATTGATTTTCATATTGTAAAGAAAACTGCATGGAATGTTGGGAAAAAAACACCAAAAAATCTTAAACAGGGTTTACCATATGCTTAGCTGTGATGTGATGTAAGATATGTAATATATGTTGGGACATGGACTTTTGAGACTGCTCATGATAAAAATGACAGCATTAGTCATTTGTTTAAATTCCTAAATTGACTCATGCTTCTTTGATAAACATAGAATTCTGAATTATGAAGAATTATTGTAAAGTATCATTGTTAATTCTCAGAAGGCAAAGGTATTTTGATACTATTGTGCCAATATTTTTCCTTTGAGAGTAGGTTAGGGTGGGTGGTTGTGTCAACAAGGTCAAAGACTTGGGATGATGACAAATGACTGCATGTTATGTCAAATCAGAAAACACTCAAATGAATCATGGAAGGCTGGAGGACTTGTTAATTTATTTTTTTTTTTGTGTGTGTTTGATCATTTGTTATCAAATGAATAAGTCCTGGAAAAGAAAATGGGAGTTAGAAGCAAAATATGTGTAAATGCTTAATAATTGTGATTTCAAAAAAGAAAGCTTTTTAAAAGTGTTTCTGTTATTTTGTCCCACTCTTTTCTATTCAGAATGTAGTAGTGTGAATACACTTGTGATAACAACATCCTCTGTATGTGTATGTATGTATGTAATGTATGGGATGTGTGGTCCTGGCCCCTGCTGTAGCTGGGAGGGGGAGCCAGCAGTCAAATTCTGGCTGACAGCATGACTCGAGGGCCTGTAGTGAGGCTGCCATCTGCCTGCCAAGCTGCAAAGGTCAAGGCCTGGCTGGAGAGCATGGATGGGTTTCAGGCCATGAGAGAGGCCTTTGACAATACCAGCAGGTAAAATATAAACTTTGACATCGACAGAACTAGTATTCAAACTTTGGGCTCAGTGGTTTACTATATGTCTATATGTTGTTATTCTGTGAAAAAGTCTGTGGTTGCTATTGGCAGGTTTGCTCGGCTTGAGAAGCTGTGCGTTGGTCTGGCTGGTAGAAATCTCTACATCCGCTTCCATTCTAAAACTGGAGATGCCATGGGGATGAACATGATGTCTAAGGTCAGTGGTTCTCAACTGGTGTCACCCTGGGACCCACTTTCCAACCCACTTATCAAGTCGTGACCCACCAGTACAAAATTTCAAACAGATTTATGAAATTATAAAGCACCTTTTTAAAACATAGTTGGTACAGCCTTTGTGTCAGATTTTTCTGCATTGTGTCTGCAGAAATGTTACTCAAAAATAAAAAGAAACAACACAACTGCTGCATAACACAACATAAATACAACAGTTGAATAACACAACGGGGTGCTGTATATGTATAAAACTGAATGCAGAACTGCAAACACAACATCCATCCATCCATTTTCCTCCGCTTATCCGGAACCGGGTCGCGGGGGCAGCAGTCTAAGCAAAGATGCCCAGACTTCGCTCTCTCCAGACACTTCCTCCAGCATCTCCAGGTGAATGCTGAGGCGGTCCCAGGGCCGCCGAGAGAGACATAGTCCCTCCAGCGTGTCCTGGGTCTTCCCCGGGGACTCCTCCCGGTGGGACATGCCCGGAACACCTCCCTAGGAAGGAGGCAGACACAACATGAAAATGCTTTATTCTCTCTTTTCACTTAACATGTAAGCAAAATTTTATTTTACAGTGAACTAATGAGATAGCTGTGGTTGTGCTTTAGTTTTGACAAGAGTTTCAATGTCTGGGCTGATAGTAGACAGAGCTACTCTCAGATCATGTTCAGTGTCCAACCTGTTCCTTTGCTTTGGCTTGAGTTGTAGGTAGGTAGGTAGGTCGGACTTTATTGATCCCACAATGGAGAAATTCCTGTGTTCCTGCAGCAATAGAGAGCAGCAACAAAACACCATAAGAACAAACACCATACATATATCTTGAGTAACAAATTCCAAAGTACCTAAAACCAGACAGAATATAGTATTTGAGAGACAATCAAGAACAAGAATGATCCTCCCACAATTAATCCCTGAGAACAAATCAAAATACCTAAGAACAAGACAAAATATAGCATTCAAGAGATCAAGAAATCGAGGACAAGAATATTACTCCCATAATTAATCCCGCAATGGGGGAAATATCTGTATTTCAGCCTTGAGGATCTCTAAAAACCTACTCAAAAATACCTAAAACAAGACAATATAAAGTATACGAGAGAAATCAAGGACAATATTTTACACATGTGCATATTTACAATGCATTTTACCCCAGGATTTGAGTATTGCACCTCAGTTGACTATTGCATATGCATTACAAATGTTGTGTTTGACCCGCATATTTTTAGACGTGTGTAAGATGCTACGCTGACAGTCTCTGTGCGTTTTGGCTTGACCTTATCACGCTAATTATGCAGTTAGCAATACAGAACTACGTGCTTTGTCTTCCACGCTGAGAGTCTCTGTGCTGTGGATTGCATTGTTTACGTTGGTTCTTTTTGTTCATCTGTCAGTTCTCATCCTTTGCTATCCTAGTTCCTGTCGTTAGTTTGTGTGTTTACCGTCCTGGTCTCCTTAGTCATCACTGCCCTTCCCTTGTATGTATTATGGTCCCTGTTATGTTATGTTGTTTTTATTCCATTAAACCACCTTTTTTGTACTAGCACCTGGGTCAGCCATCTTGAGTCCAACCCCAGTTCTCCCTTACCCTCCTGGTGAGGGGGACTAAACCATAACAGTAATACTCACCATAACTTACTCCTCAGCTGATATGACTAAGCAATCACTCCAAGCTTTTAGTCCCTCACACCGCATAAGCAGTCTAGAAATACAAACATTTGATTTGATACCATCAACTACAGACAGTGTTTGATGAATTCACATTTACACATTAAATTAATGGTTTTGTAGACACTTAAAATAAACCCACTGAATCAACACCAAACAAAAAGCCAGATGAGACCCAAGTGCACATCCAGGCCCTTTTTACAAACTCTCTCTCTTGTCTGGCCATAAAGGTAATCCTTCCATTACCGTCCCCTCTACAATCAAAGGGCTTCAGACTTGAATCATACTCAAGATTTGTGATTTGTGAACAGTGTGTATTTTTCTTTTTGTTTTTTAGTACATAAACATTGATGAATACTATGACAAGTTTAATGTCTTCTCTTTCCTATTACCATGTCTAACTTAGCACATGCACAATGTGCGCTGCCACAGATGACTGTAAGCAGCAGCAAGAACACCATGACCATAGTGAGCACATCTGCGGCTGTTACTGTATGTCATTTTATCAGGCACTGCAAAATGCACCTGGAAAGGTCATTCAAGTAATGTGAAAGACAAATTAACATTAGCACCTATGGACTGTTAACAAACATGTTAGTTCAGCACAACTGCCTGCAGAGGCTGGAGATTTTCATTTGTATTTAAATGAAGTGGTCATAGCAATTCCTCTCAGGTGTGAAGATAACTCCATAGTTATCCAACCCTGTCCCCTCTCCCCTGCTCCTATACTCATCAATAGAGTTCTTCGTTTTGGAGAATTCACTGTGACAAAAGTCATCCACAATTTACTGCGGTACAGAAACAGGGCCATGCACAGATATTTTGGGGGGGCAGGTGCTCAGGCTAAGAAAAAGGGCACCCCTCTCACTGACAGTTATTTATTAAAACCTACAGTAGCACATCTTTTATTTATGTATATACAGTCTTATGCAAAAGTTTAGGCACCCCTTGATAAATAACAGATTTTGGTGATTTTTTATTTGAACAGATGTTAACACAGTTGCTCTTGGAAATGGAAAAAATGCACAATATTTTCTGCAAACAGTGATGCATAGTTACTTCTTATGCCATAAATTGAACAAAAATAAAAAATAAAAACATTATTATGGCATGGTGCAAAAGTTTGGGCACCCTAAGAGTTCCAGAGTCTCAAAGTCTCTCACAAGGTTTCAGACCTTAATCAGCTCGTTAGATCTGATGCACAGCAACAGCTGTCATTGGTAAATGCCAATTTCAAAGCTGTACAAATACTTTGACTCTTCAAACCTTGTGCACACACTTGCGGACACCCAGCAACCATGGGTTCCTCTAAGCAGCTGTGTAAGACCCTGAAAATGAAAGTTATTGATGCCCACAATGCAGGAGAAGGCTACAAGAAGATAGCAAAGCGTTGTCAGCTTGCAGTTTCCACAGTAAGAAATGTAATTAAGAGATGGCAGATCAGGGGAACTGTGGAGGTCAAGATGAGATCTGGAAGACCAAGAAAACTCTCGGACAGAACTGCTCGTATGCTGGTCAGAAAGACAAATCAAAACCCCCATTTGACTGCAAAAAACCTGCAGGAAGATTTAGCAGACTCAGGAGTGGTGGTGCACCGTTCCACTGTGCAGCGATGCTTGCACAGACAAGGCCTTCATGGAAGAGTCAGCAGAAGAAAACCTTACCTGCGTCCCCATCATATAATCCAACGTCTGAAGTATGCAACAGGACATCTACAGAAGCCTGATGCGTTTTGGAAACAAGTGCTGTGGCCTGATGCAGTTAAAATAGAACTCTTTGGACACAATCAGCAAAGGCATGTTTGGAGAAAAAAAGGAGCAGCATTTCATGAAAAGAACACCTTGCCAACTATTAAGCATGGGGGTGGATCTATCATGCTCTGGGGTTGTGTTGCAGCCAGTGGCACAGGAAACATTGCACGGGTGGAGGGAAGAATGGATTGCACTAAATACCAGCAAATTCTGGAAGCAAACATCACACCATCTGTAAAAAAGCTGAAGCTGAAAAGAGGATGGCTTCTACAACAGGACAATTATCCTAAACATACCTCGAAATCCACTATGGAATACCTCAAGAGACGCAGGCTGAAGGTTTTGGAATGGCCATCACAGTCCCCTGATTTAAACATCATTGGAAATTTGTGGGTAGATCTTAAAAGAGCTGTGCATGCAAGACGACCAAAGAATATTACAGAACTAGAAGCCTTTTGCAAGGAAGAATGGGAGAAGATCCCAAGTACAAGAATTGAAAGACTTTTAGCTGGCTATGAAAAGCGTTTGCAAGCTGTGATATCTGCCAGAGGAGGTGTTACTAAGTACTGATTGTGTAGGGTGCCCAAACTTTTGCACCATGCCATAATAATGTTTTTATTTTTTATTTTTGTTCAATTTATGGCATAAGAAGTAACTATGCATCACTGTTTGCAGAAAATATTGTGCATTTTTTTCCATTTCCAAGAGCAACTGTGTTAACATCTGTTCAAATAAAAAAATCACCAAAATCTGTTATTTATCAAGGGGTGCCTAAACTTTTGCATAAGACTGTATTTATATAATAATACATTCATAAAAATAGCTGACATTTGTGTACATATGTTCGAATACCTAGGCTTTATCAGGCAATTGCACAGGTGTGTCAAATGCATTTAAGGGCATCATGATATACATATGTGATGATGTTGTTTGACAGATCAATGCACATTATCACATTATAGAAGCACAGAAACGTGTAAGACGTAATCCCTGTGTAGCTCATGTTTGTTGATTCACACGTGTCCTGTCTGCAGGGTACAGAGCAGGCTCTGAGCAGACTGCAGCAGGACTTCCCAGAGCTGCAGGTGGTGGCTGTCAGTGGGAACTACTGCACAGATAAGAAACCAGCCGCCATCAACTGGATCAAAGGCAGGGGCAAGTCTGCTGTCTGTGAAGCCACCATCCCTGCTAAAGTCGTCAGAGAGGTAAGAAGAGCCAGGGATGACTGGCAGTAGCTAACAGGAAATGGGATCGAAATACATATTTTAGCAGGTAGGGATAAAAATGTACCCTAAATTTCTATAGCACCTTTCAAATTTGAAAGTCTTAAAAAATCAAACTCTAACCTTCACTGTAAGGTGAAAAACATACATGTGAACATTTAAAAACAAAATGTTTATTCAGCTGATCTGATTATTAATCACAATCACATCACATCAAAAATCATTTTGCATAATCAGTAAACAACAACAGAACATTTAACAAATATGTTTGATATCTATAATAAATAAATATTTGGAATATTTTATTGATCAAATGTTTAAAGAATAGATCCCCAACCACACATACAAAAAAACCATCTCTCCCGATGCACTATGAACTCACACTAGCAGTCATAGAAAACAGTCCACAGTATCTTCCAAAGTTAGTCTTTTTAGTACAAATTGGAGAGGACGGATGCTCCCACTCCCTGTCACAAGGCTCTTCTAGACAAGCTCATATCAGTCGAACAGGGAGTCAAGTCACTCTGCACCTCTTCCTGCTCCTCTGCTTCCATCTGTCACCACCATCCACCACACCTCAGGTCCAACTCCAGCTATGCCAGACAGTCTCCCATTGATTCACCTCGCTCTGACAGCTTGCGGCTGAGCAGACCACTCAGGATATCCTGCCTTCTCTGAAAATGATCATCCTTCTTCCCACATTCATGCTCATGCACCTTCACACTCTTCCACCACCAGGCCCCCAAATTTAATCTCCATGGGTCATATTCCATTCTGCAGGTCTGATAACAAATTTACTCTTTTCCAACTGCTTCATCTTCTATTCTCCCTAAATCTTGCTCAAGAAAATCACCTGGGAATTCGACCTCTTGTTCCCATGTTTAGGTTACAGAGGGACATCTTTGCAGCATTGCCACAAGCTCAACTGCTCCACTTCCACCTTCTTCCACTACTTCTTTCACTCTCCTTTTTAATTCACTCCACTTCAGAGGACAGAAGAATGAAACACTCAATTTTGTACATTAGACTCCAAGGCAGTGTTTTAACTAATGTCCTCCTCCAGCCTGCCTACTTTTATCCTATTGCTTTTTCCTCATTCTACCTAATTCTCCTCATCAGGCACAGGGCTGCTGGTTTTTCTATTTTTTCAACTTTCATGGCACCAAGTCCCCTTGTCTCTTCTGCTGCATTTCCACTATTGGAACTTAAAAAGCGGTATACCCCATACTTCTCCCTACATAAACTCCCGGGTTGATGCAGATCGTCCTGCTTTGTTTTTCAGGGTTCCCACGTGTCCTGGAAAACCTGGACTTTTTTAAACAAGTTTTCCAGTCATGGAAAAGTTGTGGAAATTGTGATAAATTGTGCAGTATCCTAGAAAAACACTTCATCATCCTGGAAAACAATTTTCACATTTGTGTATTTTCTTTATGCTGAGAGCGAACTCTCAAATCTCAGCATGAGCTGGCAGCTGAAATTCAAAGGAGAACCCAACGTCTTCTTCTCTCAAAATTTTCTTTCAATCACTGCATCAAGACCATATGCCACTGGACTCCCAGGCCTTCATTCCCTATCTCTGATCCAAACCACAAGCTACAGTATCAAGCCCACACTTATCCATTAGAAGGTTTTGGGTGAGTGCCGGTGCCCAAGAGCAATGTGGACCTCCTAAGCTTTCCCCAAAACCATAAAGTATATAAACAGTTTGAATAAGTCTGTCTGCAGAAGTTTCATTAAGTTCAGCAAAACTTTGGAATTTACAAACAACAAAAACTTTGAATTTTGTCCCCCATCTCCTCCATTGTAGGCATTCTAGGAAGCCATCTATTCATGGTAAATAGAGAATAATTAGAGCAGTCTAGGGATGTGATGATACAAAAAACATGGTACAATATGATACATGGTAAGAAGTAGTACAATAAAAAAATATAGTGGCCGTGATAACAAGTCCACCATATGATATTTGTCACGATATTAAAAAATAAAGAAAAAAGATGAAAAATACCCTTTAAATCAGTGTTTTTTGTATTATTTTCCTTTTAACTTAAAGTGCTCCTGGTTTCCTACTTTATTAAAATAAAAGTAGGCAGCCATGAGCTGCCACCACCAATAAGCTTGTCCAAAAATTGGTATGATGCATCATTGGCACTGAATGAATGAACTGTTTGTGCAATTGCAAAACAAATAATGCAGTAGTTAGTAGCCACCGTTTTATAAAATAAAATATTGCAGCAGCTGGATCTTGTAAACAAAACAAGTCACACTCACAGTGGGACTAGTATTGCCTTTGTCTGGCAGTATTTGCAAATTGTTTGTTAGTTCCTTTCCACCCATGGCATTTCTTAAAACGGGAAAACTGAAATGCTGCCACACAACAGCTCTAAAAGTTGACAATGGAACATCCACTATGTCAGTTTCAAATTCTGGGACCTGAACATAGTTATACTAGTGAAATATCCATAGCTAATATCCTGATAGATACAGTCACCGTCACAGGACAGTATTGGGAAAATTTTCTTTAGTAATATTGCAAAATTACAAATATCATTACATGCAGCAGTCAAAAACTGCTTCAGTGTACATATGGGCATAAGGATGATGTTTAAGAGTGTTTTCTTCTTTTATAATATATTTCATGCACAGTTCACAGGAGATACTGTATGTACTTTTGTTCAGTTATTCTTCAGATAAACAGTGTAATGATCTTCAATAACATAACTGGAAAAACATTATTCATATATGAGTGTTTTTAGCCTTTATTAAATTATATTTTATTCATTAGACTCGTCCTATCTCATACTAACCCTATATAAGCAAATACAGACTCAGTCCTTGTCCCTGTGATGCAGGTTTTGAAAACAACAACAGAAGCTCTAGTGGAGGTTAACATCAGTAAAAACCTTGTGGGTTCAGCCATGGCAGGGAGCATCGGTGGATTTAACGCCCATGCAGCCAACGTGGTGGCTGCCATCTATATAGCCTGTGGACAGGTAAAGTAGGGGTTGCACAGATTAGTCAACTTCACCATGCAGAGTTGACATTTTAAACATGACTTTGACTAGTCACTGATCATGCGATTGTCAGTACCAACAGCCTTACCTGACCTAGCAAAGGCTGTTCTTGCAGCACAGAGAGTCAGTGACTTTCTTCACTAGCAGCAACCTGCACAATGTACGTCCTGAAGAAATGACAGAAAAATCTGGGCTTAAATAAACTATAAATAGACTGCCTAGTCAGGTGTAATCTGCCTGTTACTGGGAATCCACACAAGATGTGCGCAAAGTGTTCAGTGTCTTTGTCATCAGAACATGTCTGTCTGGCTGCAAACACCAGGCTTGCCCACAGTAAATGTACTGGACAAAAACAGTTTCATGTTTCGTGTGCATGCCTCTCCTCCAGGATCCAGCCCAGTCAGTGGGCAGCAGTAACTGTATCACCCTAATGGAGGCATCAGGACCAGCAGGGGATGACCTGTATATAAGCTGCACCATGCCTTCTATAGAGCTAGGCACTGTAGGAGGAGGCACCAACTTGCCTCCCCAGCAAGCATGCCTTCAGGTGCGTGCACACACACACACACACACACTAGAGTATGGACGATAATCAAGACATTTAAATATTTATTATACTTTGAAATATAATTGTTATAAGAATAGAATAAAATGCCCTTTATTGTCATTGTACCAGTACAATAAAATTATAACAGCTACAGCTGTACACAGCGCAAGTTGAAGCACAAGCAAAGCACCAAATATTCCAAATAATAAAATCACAAATGCATCAATCACGTCAATAATAAATAGAAGCAATAAAATAACTAACAGCGCTGCCATTGGTGCATATGTGTGTGTGTGTATGAGAATGGCACCACAGATGGCTGTATCAGTTCTGTACCAGAGACAAATTCCTTGTGAGTATAACATACTTGGCCAATAAAAGTGATTATCATTATTAACATAATTCCACATAAACAGGTAAGTCTCTATATGTACTGTATTATATAAATACAGATAATATATACAGTGCCTTGCGAAAGTATTCGGCCCCCTTGAACTTTGCGACCTTTTGCCACATTTCAGGCTTCAAACATAAAGATATAAAACTGTAATTTCTTGTGAAGAATCAACAACAAGTGGGACACAATCATGAAGTGGAACGAAATTTATTGGATATTTCAAACTTTTTTAACAAATAAAAAACTGAAAAATTGGGCGTGCAAAATTATTCAGCCCCCTTAAGTTAATACTTTGTAGCGCCACCTTTTGCTGCGATTACAGCTGTAAGTCGCTTGGGGTATGTCTCTATCAGTTTTGCACATCGAGAGACTGAAATTTTTGCCCATTCCTCCTTGCAAAACAGCTTGAGCTCAGTGAGGTTGGATGGAGAGCGTTTGTGAACAGCAGTTTTCAGTTCTTTCCACAGATTCTTGATTGGATTCAGGTCTGGACTTTGACTTGGCCATTCTAACACCTGGATATGTTTATTTGTGAACCATTCCATTGTAGATTTTGCTTTATGTTTTGGATCATTGTCTTGTTGGAAGACAAATCTTCGTCCCAGTCTCAGGTCTTTTGCAGACTCCATCAGGTTTTCTTCCAGAATGGTCCTGTATTTGGCTCCATCCCTCTTCCCATCAATTTTAACCATCTTCCCTGTCCCTGTTGAAGAAAAGCAGGCCCAAACCATGATTCTGCCACCACCATGTTTGACAGTGGGGGTGGTGTGTTCAGGGTGATGAGCTGTGTTGCTTTTACGCCAAACATCACGTTTTGCATTGTTGCCAAAAAGTTCGATTTTGGTTTCATCTGACCAGAGCACCTTCTTCCACATGTTTGGTGTGTCTCCCAGGTGGCTTGTGGCAAACTTTAAACGACACTTTTTATGGATATCTTTAAGAAATGGCTTTCTTCTTGCCACTCTTCCATAAAGGCCAGATTTGTGCAATATACGACTGATTGTTGAAAGGTCGCAAAGTTCAAGGGGGCCGAATACTTTCGCAAGGCACTGTAAATTCCCACCTACCCAAAAGATGCTGCACATCTAGGTTCGTGAACAAGATTGTGTAGGTTTTGAAAGGATGACCATGTATAATTTTTCCACCTGCTTTGGTATTGTCCAGTTGCAGGCTTGTTTTGAAATTGCATCCAATAGTTGATAATGAATTATAATAAAAATTATACATTCAATGTAGAAACTGTCTTTTAGGAGATATAAGTAATAGCAAATCAAAAAATAGTAATATAATCTTGTTTGGATAAGCAGTTGTAAGAAAATCTGAAATACTGTATCTACACATTAATATATCTGATTTCAAGATCTTTCTTAAAGAACACTGAATGACAAAAGGTTATATCAAAACAAACTGAAAACAAACATTTTTAAGAGAATGAAAATCTGAACCTTGAGGCAGATAAATAATAAAGAAAAACAAATTATTTTATTAAAAATTTTACTTTAGAGGAGGGGAATATATGGAAAGGGAGGGGAAAGGATGAAAAGAAAAGGGAAAGAAATAAAGGCATAGAGTATATTCTTATTCTGTGCATTACCGTTTAAAAAGTGTTGTATGTTTTCCAAAAAAAGAAAACATTTAAAATGTAGATGTTTTTAGCGCACTGCCAAGAATTAAGCCATTTTTGTTTCTATTATTTTGGGTTTCTGCTGATTTTGGTGGTCAATGTATTGCAATGTATTTAGCTTATTTCCTAGTAGTGGTCATTCGTGTGTGTGTGTGTGTGTGTGTGTGTGTGTGTGTGCGTGCGTGCGTGCATGTATTTATCTGTGGCTGTGTGTGCAGATGCTGGGTGTGCAGGGAGCCTGTCAGGATTTCCCAGGAGAGAATGCCCGGCAGTTGGCCAGGGTTGTGTGTGCCACTGTGCTTGCTGGAGAGCTCTCACTGATGGCTGCTCTGGCTGCTGGACATCTGGTCAAAAGTCACATGACTCATAACAGGTAAGAGTAAGGAACCTTCTTTTGGAGATTTACATGAGCCCTCTTTTGTCTGTGACCAACACAAAAATCTGAATGGTCAACATATGTCAAACACATATGGATATAGGCATAGACCACCTGAATGTGTTTGGGTTTGTAAAAACATACAGAGACACATAAAGACTGCAGTACTGCTAAAAGCTACAGTACTGATGTTCCCTTTCACAGACGTCTTTTGGCAAATCACCATGGGACAAATTTTACCACATATTTGCAAAACCTTAGAAATGTTCAGCTTTCAACTAGAGGTCTTTATTTTGTACATTATTTTGAAAAACTTGCAAATAATTAGACCCAACTCCACGTGTGGTCAACCAAAAGAAAGCCTAACAGAGAGACAACACAAAAACCAGCAGCAGCATAATGCTCTATCACTTATTTCAGTTAATTAACAGCCATGCATATTTATTGATTGGGTATATTGAATATTTTTTTTACATTGATCCTGATAGTTAAGCCTCAAATGGCATATTTTATTCATTTTTATTTGGATAAAACAAATCAACTGACAATCAGCTAACAGTGACCATCAATGAATGGTCAATCCCTGCAATTCTGTAAACTGTCAGTTGGATTCATCCAACTCCTGTGCTCATTGAGGCTGACTGTGCAACCATAATGTTTATACAGACCTGGAAGACTACAATAATTTGTTTATATGCATTAAGGACTTTATTTTATTTTAAATTGCCATGGGCCACTTCATATTCTCCAGCAACAATAGAACATTATATATTTAAATGGGTAGTGGATAACAATCTCCCAAATCCCCCCCCCAAACCAAACCAATTTTCTTGAAAAAAACTGATTTCTCATCAGAACTGTGAGCTGTGAAATGTACAGTTTTCATTTTCCTTATCACAAACAAACCATTTCTCTCACAGTAACAGAGGTAATGTGATCAGAGCTGGTGTCAGCATATAACTAATGTACATACATTTGACATAAAAAAATGTGAACTGTTCTGTCTGCAGATCCAAGGTCAACCTACAGGACACTCAAGAATGTGTGGCAGAAAAGCCTCCCGAGAGCCTGAGAAGAGTTCAGCATCCTTCACCAGACCCTGGTCACTGAACAGAGCACTAAAGCCAGGACAGTATGGACAATCTGAAAGTGACTAATCATTCATCAATGAGACCAGACCTCAGACATTCTCAAAATGCTTTCCAAGAGAGATGAATGTCTTCTGACCAATTTCTGTACTGGATATGAAGAGGATCTATTCAAGCTAATCAGACTAATGACCTTTAAATGAAAGATTTCTGCTCTGCTGGTGCCCAATGAAGCACTGAACATAGAAACAATGCTACAAAAAAGGTGAAGATGAATGTGGGTGGCTGGGTATGGGAATTTAAAGAGAAATGCTGCTCAGTCCATGTGTCATCCGATCATTCAGTTACTGATTTAATCTACAAACAAGAAAACAGATGAACGGTTCAGAATTAAACTTTTTTTTTTGACCCACCGATCCACACTGCAGAGAATAAGTATGTTGGTGTGGGGATTGCTTTCTGAAGGTATATTGGAACAATATGAGTCAATTACATAACTTTGCACAGAGACATCACATAAGCTCCATTTCCATCGGAACCTAATGAGCGATACACCCCATACTTCTCTTAAGCATCACCAAGCAAAGCCTCTGGGGTTGACGGCGACCATCGTGCTTTGTTTTTCCACTGTATTTTCTCTCTTTGGTCTCTGTTTAAAGGAGGGAGGGGCTACTCCCTTCTCACACACACACAGTCAGCTGTGTGTTTACACAATGTGCTTGTAATGCTAATGCTTGAGGTGTAAAGATGCAGACATTTGACAAACGCAGAACCCGTGACAAGCGTTACTTGCCACAAACCCCTGCAGAGGCTACAAGGTCTACAGTGCAAGGTAAAACTCCCACCCCCGTCAAAAAAATGATGGGCCCAATAATGTAGCATAAAAATTGTGACCAGTAGGCTAACAGTGAAGCTCTGCTTAGACTGCTTAAAATTAACAATGAGTTAATCTGTTTGAATATTACACATAATATGTGGTTCAGTGGGTAGAGCAGTCGTCTCCCAACCGGAGGTTAAAATCTCAGTGCTCACAGTCGAAGTGTCTTTGGGCAAGACAGTGAACCCCCAAGTTGCCCCTGATGGTTAGAGCCATCGGTTGAGTTGGCACCACAGATGGGTGCCTTGTTTCTGTACTGGAAACAAATTCCTTGTGTGTAACATACTTGGCCAATAAAGGTGCTGATGTGTACTCCCAAAGACCCTCAATGATACATGACATCCCTCTCTATTGCATACTTCCTTGACAAAATGAAATTACACATTATCCATACCACTTATTCCTGAGTAGGGTCTCGGGTCTGACTGTGGGAAGAAGCCCAGAGAGAACTCACACAGGCAGAAGAACATGCACACTCTGTACAGAAAGGCCCGAGGCCGGCCGGGACTCGAATGCGAAGTATTCTAGCTGTGTGGCGACAGCACTAACAACTACGCTGCCCAAAATTACAGATGACCTATAAAAAGAAAATTATTCACTGAAAACCAGGGCGGATTGTGAATGATTCGACTGTGGGATTTAGTAAAACCCACACTCTAAACGACACCAGTTTGATATCACAGAAAAAGGATCAATCTTGCCTACTTTTGGAATCCTTTGAACCTTGGATGATGGCGCAATAACTTGATGAGGTTTTGTTCAGGCTTGGTTGATGTGTCGAGATCTATTCCGCCATCAGCATGTGTGTTCCCATTAAAACTGTGTTTCTAATAGCACCCCCCTCTGTGGTTATGGTTAGGATAAAGTTAGGGTTCAGTTTAAGAGAAACACATCTTGACAGGGGAATATACAGTATCTCGACACAACAGCGCAACAGTACAGGGTGGCCTCTCCCTGGACTGCAGTAGCAAGATCCATTTGACAATGTTCCATGGTTAGTTTTGGCAACTCTTGAGACAGAGACACAATTAGGTTCAACATTCATACTCAGCACAAGGAACTATCTGATAGTAGCAGCACTAAAAGTCAAGGATCAAAATAGTTTTATGTAATTCTGATTCAGGCATCCCCCTGTAATTACTGAAATGAATAGCATTAGAGGGATACCATCCCCTCAAAGAATGGCCAACCAAAGCTGCTATAAGCATGAGCAGAGCTATGCAACTAAAACTCAGTCTTGAGTTCTTTTTCTTGAAAGCGTTTTGCTAAAACTACCAAATTACTGAATATATTTTATGTTGTATGTCTGCAGATCAATCCCTATTCAGTTATAATTCCAGACAATTCACAATGCTCCTGCAGAAATCCCTCAAAGCTGGAGGAACTTGAACACTTCACATTTTTGGTGACTTAACAGGTTGACAAATTAAGCCAAACTAACATTTCTTACCTGAGGGATGACTTTTTGAAAGGAGATCTTCCTGACCTTGTTAACTGCTATATCAAGAGTATAGAAAATTCAAACATTATCCAGATTGCAACCGAAGGTCAACAACCATAATTAACATTACACATATTAAACGTCATTACACGCGTGAGTTAACGTTACATTAATTAAGACTTTAACTAACTAACGTTATGTTACCAGTATATAGACGGCAAACCGATTTTGCAGCTAAAACCGAAGGCACCACTTAGATAGATATTGATTAGAGATCTGTTGTATTAGAAAATGTTAGTGTAGCCAGGATGTCTTGCTCAGGCTGTTAAATGCTTAGTTCATTGTCATGAGCTTGCTGCAGGCTGCATGTGGGCCCCAAGGTCAACTAGATTGAAGAGTCTGCAGGCAGGATGAATATTGCTA